AAAGGAAAGCATTCAGATTCTGTAGGATGTTTGCCCCCACCCCTCTCCTAGAAAAATGAGATATTTTAGGAAATATTAAAGGGACAGAATATTTCCCCTAAAAGGGAGGCAGAAACTCATCCCCCCACCTTTGTCAATGGCCATTTAGTCCTGAGCCAGTCTATTCTACATAACAAAGATCTACCTCCTTCAGGCAGAGCCATAATAGGAATCCCAAAGCCCTTTCATTACATCATCACCCAGCACAAAGGCTCAACCATGCTTGGGACTCAGGACAGCCTGCAGAGTTGCCCCTGGATGGCCCCAAGGGAGTCTGACAACCAATCAGAACACGAGCTCAAATTCAAAGGGCCAGAGAGGGCATAAAACCAGGGACTTTCAGCATCTCTTCCCTCCCCCCGCAGGAACTCAAACCCATGTGGCCCTGTCCATCATCAATAAACTTTCTTTCCAAGCAACTTCCATGAATCCAGTGTCTTTTCCCCCACTTGGAACTGAACTCAGAGGGACATTTCTTCCAACATACAGAGAATTCCACAAGAGGCTGCAACATAGATGTGTATCAGACCATTACAGTGTGGGTGATTTTATTTCTGATCCCTTTCCATCCATCTCACGGAATTGTCTTTTTCCAGATCTATTCTCTGAGTGCCTTAAGCATGAATATGAATGTGTTGTGCTATAGCATGAACAATATGTGGGCCACCTAAGCTGAAATCTTCAGTGTGTTGGCTCCATTGTCCCAAGGTTTTGGCCATCGACTCGTGCTCACTTGGAACGCAATGAGATACATTCCGTTTCAGCTGCAATACTTACGTCTACAATCAGGAAATCAAGCCAGCACCAAGCATTAGTGAAGTATTTGTGGAATCCATAAGCCACCCATTTCAGCAACATCTCTAAGACAAATATGTAGGTGAAGATTTTGTCAGCATATTCCAGCATGATTTTAATAGTCCTCCTTTCACTCAAGTAAATGTCTTCAAATGCCTGAGATAAGAATGAACATATGAGCATTATATTTGCAGAATATTATTAAATGTATTATTATATTTACTATTTTTCTTATACATCTCCCCTCTCCCTCTCCCCTCTCCCCCCCTCTCTCTCACACATACACACACTGCTGGAACATTAGATATAATGCAAGGAAAGTATAGCAAAAATAAATAGAAAATCCATGAAAAATCAGGGTGAAAAAATAGAGTCTGTGAAATTTCTAACTTTAAAAAATAAATAAACCTCCTTTATTGTTTTCCTCTGATCACAGCGATTCTTTCTCATTATTGTTGTTTTAATCCACTTTTCCATTCTATTTCTCAATGTTCTCAGGCAATTAAGGATCTTGTAATACATGTGATGATGTCACAAAACCAATCAAATTTGATTGACAACTTGGTGTGTCTAAAATTACTGATGCCTATAACATTCTCTAAGACTAAATTTCTCAATGATCCCCTTTTGTGACCTCAACTGATGACCACATTAGGGGTGACATTTCAATGTCCAAATGATCTGGTTGTTAAGGAAATCATGGAACTGCTAAGTTTATTGTGCAATCATTAAGTGAGTCCGGAAGTTCCCCCCCCCCCTTGTCAGCTGGGAAAATCACAAGCTACAATCGCATGGACCCTGAATGCTACAATTGTTTTAAATATAATATAAATATTGCCAAGCTCTCACATAGCCATTGTTTGAACATGGGGATGCTGTAATGATTGTAACTTTGAGGAAGGATCATAAGTCCCTTTTTTTCAGCACCCCTAAAACTGTTATTAAATGAATGGTGATAAGTCAAGGACTATCTGTGCTGTTAATGTTAAAGAAAAAAGAGTTAACATACCAGCGCTCCACTACTTAACAAAATCATGAACACAATGAAGCTTTCAAACCAGTTGTGTTCCACAATTTGGTAACATGTCTTTCTTAAATTCCACCATGTTTTCCCTGGGAACTTTGTCGTATTCGCGGTACACCAAGGATAACGGTGAACACAACCTGAAAGAGACATTGAAGTCACAATGCAAGATTACTGAGCCAACGCAATTCTCGTGAACAGGTTAAAAATATTTTTTTTAGCTCCACATCCTGTCTTTCAAGATGATTGGTAAACCCCTCTGAGAAGACATGACTAATCTAGTTGGCCATGCTGTCTGGGATGATGAAAACCATCATTTCTGGATGAAGACATGTTCAAAAGGGTTCCACCACAAAACTGCGTTCGACTAAAGGGCGCTCGACGAAACCGCGTAGCTGACGTCATCACAGCGCGACAACAGCGCGGAGAAAAAAGCACGCTGTAAACGCTAAACCTAAAATTAACCCCTAAACAACCTAACCCTAAATCTAACCCTAAACGTAACCCTTAACCTAACGCTAAACCTAATCCTAACCCTTAACCTAACCCTAACCCTAAACCTAACCCTAAACCTAACCCTTAACCTACCCCTTAACCTAACCCTAAACCTACCGCTAAACCTAACCCTAACCCTTAACCTAACCCTAACCCTAAACCTAACCCTAAACCTAACCCTTACCTTAACTTTAAACCTAACCCTAAACCTAACCCTT